AAACGTTTTTCCTCCCCTTTTTCTCTAGATTCTTCCGAAAATATGTAAGTTTTTTTGTGTTTTATCAAGTAATTTGTTTGTTTCATATATATAACTTGAATATAATAGGTTTAGAAATGTGATTTTGTTAGATTAGGTGGTTAAGATTGGGTACTGGTGAATTTGGGTTGTAAAGTTGTGAAAAGTGATGAATTTAGTGTTAGATTGTTTTATATATCAAAAGTTCATTAGAAAATGTTTTTTTTTTAATATTATAAAGTGTTTTTGTGAATATTAATCACGTTTTTATATTCTAAAAATGTGAAATTGGAATATTAAAAACGTTTTTATATACTAAAAATAAATTCTACATGAAATTTTGATATATTAAAACATATACATTTATATATTTATTATCAAAAACGTGATTTATACGTTTTTGGAATATAAATGTAATTTTGATATATACATTATAAATGTAATTTTGTATAACCTACATAAAATTAGACTTATAATTAGATTTATTTATATTATGTAGGTTCTTAGTTTACTTAAATTTATTGTTCAGGTCTATCAAATACTTTCGTGATGCTCTTGTTTTGGAAAGTTCGAGTAGGTCACGTACATTAAGGAGTGATTACGGAACTCCAAATCTGAACAAATTTTGCATATCGCGCGAGCAACTGACGGTTGAAGAGCTAATGCAACAACCAAGCCGAGAGCTTATCCCAAAGCTACATTTTTCTCGCGAGGGAACATCGTTCTGGTAAAAATAATAAATATTTTATTTTTAGATTTAGATTTTTAGTAATTCTCTTTTAACCTAATATCTGTTATTTGTTTTATTTGTAGGTTTGGCAATAATCCATTAATTAATAAGTCGTTTCAGAAAATGTTGCATGGATACCTCCACCATCCATATCAGACATGGAATGATTTTCCAGATGAAGAAAAAGAAATGTGGTACCGCTCTTTTACGGTAATTGATAGAAAATTATATATTTTTACAAAATATTTCGTTATAATATCAAATCAATAACTAATATTATTTTTTTGTTTCTAATTTACAGCAAGATTTTACTTGGGAACCTTAGCTTACAAGGCTCGTTCGGGTGGAGTGCGAAAATGGAGTTCAACTTACAGTACTTAGACCACATGAACGATTGGAAGTAGAAGTGGATCGACGGAAAGGAAAAGCCGGAAGGGTTGGACGATGATGTTTGGATTGGATTGCAGAGATACTGGGATTTGCAGAAGACAAAAATTCAAGAAAACTTTTATTAGCAATATTAGGTTCTATGGTGAATTTTATTTTGAAATTATGTTTTTTTCATTTTCATAATTACTTCTTTTAATGTTTAAAGTTTAAACAATTTGGAATTTTATCAGAGAATTTTATTTTAATTTCGAATTTTATTTTAATTCTATTTAAATAAATTAATAATGGTATTTTTAAAAAATAATTCAGATATAAAATAAACATTTCCAACCTATTTTCGATGGCTTGTCCTATCCGTTGGAAATCGGTGGGTATTATTTCCAAACAATTCCGGACGGATTGACGTATCGATTGGAAATTGGTTAGAAATTCATCCATCCTAAAACCGTTGAAAACCCGTAGAAAAATGTTTTCGACAGCAAAAAATTTCCAACGGATTTTCCAACGAAATTACGCAATTGAAAATCCGTCGAAATTTTCCAACGATTTCCGACCGATTTTTAATTTCCGACCACCTGAACCCGACGGTCGATATGG